CCCTTCTTCAGAAAATTTTCTGAAGAAGGGTCTAGGCCCGAAACGTCAGCCTTCCTGTTCCTCTGATGCTGTTTGGCCTGCTGTGTTCATCCAGCTCCTACACCTTGTTATCTGGGTATACTCTCCATCAGGTTGTTTGATATTCCCACCATGCTAAATAGGTAATATTTTGAATGCATCTAGCAAATGAAAACCGGACATCATCCATCATTGTGGGCCATCAGCAGCAGCAGAATTGTCCTCAAACCCGATCTATAACCTCATGGCCCACAATGTCCCCCGTCCTTCCATTAGCATCAAACCAGTGATCAGACTTGGTTCAATGAAGACTGCAGGAGGGCATGCACAAGACAAACATAAAAATGAGGTGTCAAACCTGATAAGGCTGTAATAAGAGTACTAGTTGCAGAACTGTGCAGAACTGGTGCTCAGTTTGGGTTCTGCCATGGTCATTCAGCTTCTGACCTCATTACAGCCTTGCTTCAAACATTGACAGAAGAACTGAACATCAGGGAGGAGGTGTGAGTGATTGCCATTACATCAAGGCAGGATTTGACCAAGTGTTGCACCAACGACTTTGTATTTGGCATTTACAAAATTCACCTCCGCCTTCATCAATGCTCATTACCAGGAGTATGTACCATATATGAGATGCATTGCAGAAATTCACCAAAGCTGTTTAGACAGCAGCTTCCAAACTGACCAACTCTGCAATTGAGAAGGACAAGGTCAGCAGATACAAGGGAATACCACCACCTGCAAGTTTCTCTCCAAGCCAGCTACCATCCAGACTTGGAAATTTATCGCTGTTTCATCAGTGTCATGAAGTCTAATCCTAGAAATCCCTCTTTAATAGTACCTACAGCAAATAGATTGCACCAGTTCACCACCATCTTCTCGAGGGTAACTAGGGATGAGTAATACATTACTCCCATACTATGAGTAAACAAAAAAAAAGACTGGTAAATCAAAAGGGCAAAAGTAGCTAGATGAGGAATTAATAAAATGTTTTCAGGATAATTTCTTAAAACAGCAAGTTCTGTTATTACTAGACCTGCTATTGTTCATCAAGATAGGATTAATTAATGACCATTAGTGAAGATGCCCCTTTTGTAGCAGCAAGTAATATGATTGAATTTTACATTCTGAGAGACAGAAGACTGTGTCCAAGACTAGTGTTTAAATGAGGGCAATTCTAAGGGTAGGAAAACAGAGTTAGCTAAACTGAATTGGAATATTAGGTTAAGTAATAGGTCAGTTGAGTTGCAGTGACAGACATTTAAGGGATATGTTAGCGTACGCAGAACTGATGTATTCCAACAATAAATAAAATTTTCAGGGATAGGCGCTGCCATTCGTGGTTAGCTAAAAAGAAGTTTGAGTAGGTGCAACAGTCCTGAACAAGCATGTGGACCATGTGAAAGCTGCTAACTCCAAACAATGTGAGAGCAAAACATGCCCAGCTCCTTTCTGACCGTTCCAGAACCCGTGAATTGTCCCTCTCTGTTAAGCATTGAAAATATCTCAGAATCTGAGATGGATACAGCGGATGTCGCTGACCTGATGCCTTTTGCTGCTTGAAGAGGAGAATTTCTAGCAAGTCTCTGTGCATTACATACCACCCATATCTGAGGCAGAGTCGGAGGAACCTGGCCATGTGCTAAAACGCCTCAGGAGGACCTACAAAAAAGAAAGAACCAGCCTATGCTATTGGACTCAGGGTAGCAATGTAGTGATTGTAACAAGGTCAGTCGGGTGGACCTCACAGAACTGGAGTTCCCTGATTGGACCAGATTAACAGCCCCAATCAAGGAGCCGTGTCAGACGTCCAGTTCACTCCGAGAGCTGGCTCTGAGGTAGCTGGATCAGTGTCAAGGACTCTCCACGTCTAAATTAAGGGTGACTTGGTGTTGGCATACAGCCTATGAGTTCTCCTACTCAATTTAGATGTAGTGGGACTCTTTTGCTTTCTCAGGTCTGCATATCAGCAGCAACTACAATGGCTTGCTGGCTCTGATCCTGAAGAAAGTTTTAACTGTTTGACTGAGGTTTGGCTTTGTTTTAGGGTTTCACTGTGGGCTGACCCAAGTGGTGTTCCCCAAGCTCTGTTGAACTGGCGAGGGTGCCCACTTCCATCAGAATACCCTGCAAATCATTTGTTCCTCTTGCTACATTTTCCTATAATAAAGCCAGTTGTAGTCCCTGTTTGAAGTCCAATGGGGCTGCAGCTAGTAGGTGGCTTTTGACTGGTTACATCATTAATCCCACATACCAAACAGTGTCTCAACATCTGATTAAGGGTTAAACCAAAGTCATGTGTCATTGCCTTTTGTCTTAATGTAGTCAAAAATCCTGATATGGATTCCTTTTGTTCTCGAATTGCCAAGTAAAACTGATTGCATCTCAGAATTAGAGGAGGCTTGGGATCACAATATTCCTTAACACAAATTGGTCAACTCTTGAAAGATTTTAGTTTTTTTGTGCCTCAGGGAAACTTAGGCTCCTAATAATTGAAAAAGCTGTGGGTCCACAAGCTGGCAGGATTACTTGTTGCTTTTCACCTGCCCTAATGTTGATTTTTTTCCAGAAAAAATAATACATTCTTTCCCCAAACTGGGCCCAGTCTTTGACAGGATTGAATGAGTCAAGTTTCCCGAATAAGGGCATGATAGCAGAAATGTTTACCCCAACTCTGAGACAACTGTTGCAAGTGAATTTCCTCAGGAGTGTGCTTTTTTCTCGTTGCCACGGAAATAACTCCCCAGAGGCCAGTACCCATCATCAAGTCACCCTTTATTTACATGTGGAGAGTCCTTGACACTGATCCAGCTCCCTCAGAGCCAGCTCTGAGTGGACAGGATGTCTGACTCTCCTGTTTTTATCTGTCAGCCAGGGCTCCCTGATTGGGGCTGTTAATCTGGTCCAATCAAGGAACTCCTATTCTATGAGGTCCTTCTGGCTGACCTCATTGCAATCACTAGTTGTGAGACATCATATTTATGTAAATATCTGAAATCTTATCATAGAGAGGAACTGTGGGAGTTTAACTAATTTCTTCAGATTAAACTCATATGAAGACTTTAAGAAAGCTGCTAGCTTTAATGAAATTCAAGTTGGCAAACCTCAATAAGATGCCTTGTTCCCGCAGCTTGTGAAATTCTCCTGCCATTCTAAATCAGAATCACTGAGGCTCACTGTCACATACATACTGATTGATGAGTACAAAGAAAGACGTGAGACTGATTTGTTTATAGAATGGAGCTTAGGGAAATGTAGTCCAAGATATGTTGAGCCATTATTCGTAGATGTTTCTAGCACAGAAGGCAGCCGTTCAGCCCATCATAGCCATGTTGCTGTCTGCATTAATCTCATTTTCTGACTTGTGGCCTGTAACCCTGGAGGTTATGGCAACGCAAGTGAGGATCTTAATACTGCTAAATGTTAGGAGAGTTTCTGACATATTATAGAATCCCTACAATGTGGAAGCAGGCCATTTGGCTGATCGAGTCCACACCGACCCTCCAAAGAGCATCCCACCCAGACCCACTTTCCCCTACC